TCTCCTTTGCCCTCTGCTCTGACCGTGTGGCCAGCAGACTCTTGCTGCTGCCAGCCTCCCTGCCAGTCTTGACGCCCCAAAGACCAGGGCCAGGGTCTGACCCAGCTCCAGGATCCTGGAAATCATTAATTTACTCATCTGTTCACCTCCAACAAATTTCAATCAATGAGACAGATCATCTCTGACCTCATTGAGCAAGTGAGCAGGACAAACAAGATCAGTTCCCACCAGCAGTACAATGACAATGACAGAAGTAAACAGGGACAGGGAATGACTTGGGGGGGTTGGTGCTTTGGAGGATGGGCAGAGATGTGACAGCTGCCTGGGTCTTAAAGGATGCAGAGGCACCAGCCATGGCAAAAGCTAGGGGAGGTGAAGGCTGAACTGAGTGCACACAAATTTCTGGACCCAGTTCTGCACCCAGGACCCCTTTTCCTTATCTCCTTATTTGCCCTGGCTGTGTCCTATTTGGTTTAATACCATGGCCCTGGACCCAATCCCAGGACATGGAATCTGATGCCACCAACACCATTCAGCCCTAAATGAACCCCCCCCCAGGCCAGTAGGGGAAACAAAAGTGAGCTGCACCATGGGCAGCCCTCACCCCCATTCCAGGCTTCTTTACCCAGACCCTCCCTACTCAGTCTTACAACAGAAGCTTCACTTCTATTTCCTCAGAATAGAAATGGGGTTATGAAGTGAAGGGGAAAGTGGGCTTTGTAGTCCAGACAGTTCTGAGTTGAAATCCTAGCTCCATTCCCCATCCCCAGCTGCATGCTAATAGCAAGGGACTTCACTTGCCTAAACCACTGTCCTTGAAGCTCTATGACCTGTGGTGGGGGTACCTTTTCCTTCCTTTAGCTGGCAGGTTGAGTCCTCCCAGGTTCCCTAAGGCAGCCCAGGGATTGAACACGGACCTTGCATTTCCAGGCAGGCAGTGGAACCACTGAGCTAAATCCCTGGCCCTCCCAAGTCCTTTCTTTTGAGGGCAGCCATGATGAAAGACAACAGCTGCACTGCTCTATCAGGTAGGGAGACAGCCCCAAAGTCAGGACCAAGCCCAGGAAATTTGAGTAGGTCTTCACTAGATAAATATTTACTGAATGAATGAGTGAATGAATAAATTCTGGTGGGTGTCATTACAGCCTTCCATCATAAGAACTGGAAGGGCACCATAGTTCCCCTACTTAGGGTGCATGAACCAAGGTGGTGTGGGAAGGTCATCAACCTGTGGCATTGTGTGTGTGACAAAGTATGTGCATGTGTCATTTTCTTTCTTTCTTTTTTTTTTTTTTTTGGTACCGGGGATCGAACTCGGGACCTTTTGCTTGTGAGGCAGGTGGTGGAACCACTGAGCTAAATCCCCAGCCCGTGCATGTGTCATTTTCTATGCAAGTAAACTCTAATATTTTCGTCAGTGTTTCAGTTAGGGTAGCTGATCCAAATACACTTAGATGCCCTGATTCAATCCGTACCCCATTTTACAGACAGGGAAGTTGGATCCCAATTCACACAGAAGTCAGTGACAGAATAAATCTGGAGGAAACTGACCCTCATGTGTCTGGGGTCATGAACCAGTTAGAAATTCCAACTTCCAGCCTCTCACCCTTGAAGTCTCACCCTCTCTTACATGACCCCCAGCAAGGCTCTACCCTCTCTCTCAGCTTTTCCATTGGGACCAGTAGAGGATGTACTGCAGCCTGGAAGTTTCTGGAACCCCAGGTGTGCTGGCCCACAGTTCTCTAGTTCTTAGAATTTGAATTTTCTAATCTTTCTGTGTGTGTATGTATCTTTTTCATTGTTTAGTTGATAGCAGGTACAAAGGGGCAGCAAAAAGTATAATCTCAGGAATACCAAATACGTAGCAACGCATACTATATTTGGCCAAAGCAGTGCTCAGAGAAAAATAAATAGCCTTGAATGCAGAAAGAAGAAATTAATTTTAAAAAACAAAACATTCATAAAAGAAATGATACCAAAAAAGAGGATAATGAAATCAGGGGCATTTTTAAAGACCAATAAAAGAGACAAAGCTTTGGCAAGGTGACGAAGAAAAGGCACAAAGGGTTAAGAGAAGGTACACTGAGGGTTAAAATCAAAAGTCCTTAGTACAGCTTTAAATTATGAGAGTCTCTGCCCAAAATGTTATGATAATCAATTTGAGAACATGGATAAAACAGATAGTATTCTGGGTACTGGTTTCCCAACTTAAGCAGGCATCAGAATCATCTGGAGGGCTTATTAAGCATAGGTTCTGAGCCCTGCCAGGAATTTCAGACTCAATGTGCAAGAATCTGTATTTCTAACAAATTCCCAGGTGCTGCTGAGTCGATGGCTGGGAACACATTTGGAGAACCACTGGCCTAGTGTCCTGCTTGCCCTGTTTTGCTCCTTGTCCTGAGCTGCCTAACAGCTTCCTCTGTTTGCAATGGGAATGAAAGAGGGCTTGTGACCAGTGGCCCAAAGCTTCTCGGGTTGGACAACTGAGGACCCAGGGACCTCAGCTGCCCCCCCCCGCAGTGAGGTGGTGGAGCCCTCATCCATGCCAGGCACTGTGCTTAATGCTTGTACCTGGACCAGCTGATTTAATCCTATAAGGCTGGAACAGTTGCGCTACTAGATTTTCAGGAAACTGAGGCACAAAGAGAATGGAAAATGCCACCTCTACAGCTAGCAAACTGACATGGGAATCAAATTCTTGAGCACCTGCCCCGGCCACCATTTTAACATCTTTTCCTTAACTGTGCCATACACCTCTGTAGGGTGGGCCTCCTTATGCCATTACCCATTACCCCATTTTAACAGTGCCTGCAAGTGGCAAGGGCAGGGCATGGAATCCAGGGGCCTGGGAGCCAGAAGGAAAGTGGAGCCAGTGAGGTGCCAACTCTAGCCCCTAAAGCGGGGCTCACTGGTACTCGCTGGGCCTCAGTTTCTTCAGCAGTCAAAACTCCGGGTCATTCCAGCCCTTTCTACACTGGGTGGCTGTGAAGAATAAATAAGTGCCTGGTGCACACTGAGTTCTCAGGCACTTCCGCAGATGTTCTCTCATTTAGTTCTCAAGCCCACCCTGGGGGAAGCTATTGCCCTTTCTATTTTACAAATAAGGAAAAGGCTAGTCTGACTCTGGAGGGGCAGTGAAGGACCAACAGCCCCCAGATGGCCAGCAGCAGGACTAGAATTAGAGGCCGTAGGCCCCCCAGAGCCAGAGCAATAGCATCCACCAGTTTGTGGGCCCAGCCCCCAGGCAACCTGCACTCCTCAGTTCGCACTGTTCCTCTCTCCCTAGCTGCCCTCTCACCACAGAGGTTCTGCAAGGACCAGCAACTTGCCCAAGGTCACACAAGGGGTAAACAACCTCACTCCAGACCCAGGCCCGGAGGTACCCTCTGTAAGTCCTGAGGCCTTTGGATTGCTGGGAGCAAAGAGGAAGACTTATCCTCAACCTACAGCCCCTTGCCCCTCCTGGTCTTCTAAAAACTGACCCCACTGATGGACAGATATCGCCAAGATACTAAGCCTCTGCAAGTAAAATAAAATTACAAGCAAAATAAACAAAGATGGTAACAATGATACATCAAATATCACACTGGGAGTGGGGCACTGGGAGTGGGGCACTGGGTGGGGGTGGGGGGGGGGTGGCAGACTCCCAGCCCGGACCATGTGCCAGGCCCCATGCTCTCTGCACTTTCTCTGTCCCTCCCTCACGGCTCGAAAACATCCCACAATGCACACGCCATCGTTCCTCACCTTATAAATTAAAAACAAAAACAAAAACAAAAAAATCTAAAGAGATGGAGTCACTGGCTCAAGGTTACTCAGCTAGGAAGTGACCGCCCAAATGTGAACATACTTCTTTCTGGCCACCAGCACCTCTGCACTCCCTGGCTACTGCCCACAGACCCAGAGCTAACGGAAAAGGCCAGACCAGAACTGCAGCACTCAGAGTTTCAGCTAATGATTTTAGAATTAGAGGGGATGATTCTGCATGCGTCCCCCAGCCTGGAGCGGAAGGTGACCGCTCCACGTGCGGTCCCTGGCAACGTGCCTCTGGGCCCTTGGGGACAGTCCTTGGTGCGCCAGCAGAGCATGGCGTGGTCCCAGGGCTCCCGCAGGACTGAAGCCGGGAGGGGCTTGCTAATCGTACTTCCCAAAGAAATCCCGCTGTTTGCCCAAACATGAGCCGTCCTGCTATTGCTTCTCGGGAACCCAAGGCCCCTACACCTGGCGCACCTCGGACAGGTCCCCACGCGCAACCACAGCCCCTCTATCGTGCAACGAATTTCCAGGGGCAGGAGCCTCGCTCCCTACTGATTGACCTCGAGGCCCTATCCAGCCGAGCCCGGCACGCTTGGGCACCTGCGAGTCACGCCTTGGTCAGCCTGGCGGGAGCCAGGGACCGTCTCCAAAGTAGCCGCCACGCCGCAGCCAAAGTCTCGGCGGGGGCGAATTCTCCCCACGCGGGTCGGTGTCCTCAGTCGCATAGAGAACGCTACGGTGCTCCCCTCGGCCAGCGCGCACTGAGCGCGGAGCTAGCGCCCGGGTTGCGCCTTTTTCGTTGCTCCCGCGGAGATCTGGTGTCCAAGAGGCTTCCACAAATTCCTCAGGGTCGTTTGGGCCGCAACTCCGTTGTAATCGAAAGGATTCACTGGGTTTGGTTTTTGCTCAAATGAAAAAAAAATGGAAGAAAACGAAAACCCTCTCAGCAAAAGACAATTTCACAAACAGAGCGTCCTACCCGCGGCGCAAGGCGGCCGAGAAGCGGTCCCGGCCGGGAGGAGCGGGGAGTGTCTGCTAATTGCAGCTTCGTTAGATTTCGAGTTTGGAAGGCTGCGGTTCGGGCGCTAATATCCGCCGCCCATTATCCCGGCTAATAAATTTGACCTATTGTTCGTTTGTTAAAATGATGTCACCTTGGAACAGTCCCTAAGCTCCTATTTCCATGAATTAGGCCTTTATTGAAAGCCGGGAGCCAATGAGAGGAGAGAGGCTTGTTGATCGCAGCCAATGGCTGCGGCAGGAGAGGAATTAGCAGCGGAAACTCCAGGTTCGGTTCAAGAAAGATGACACAGAGCCTGTCGGGCCCGCGCACTCTTGGCAAAGTTTCAGTGCGACGAGAGGCGCCGGGCGCTCCATGGCTGCGCCGTAACGGGGACCCAGCCGCCTCCCCGCCCAGCCCAGCCCAGCCCTTCTGCCCGCCCAGGATGGAGGCGCCCGCCAGCGCGCAGACCCCGCACCCCCACGAGCCCATCAGTTTCGGCATCGACCAGATCCTCAACAGTCCGGACCAGGACAGCGCACCCGCCCCGCGGGGGCCCGACGGCGCCAGCTACCTGGGAGGGCCCCCGGGGGGCCGTCCGGGCGCCACATACCCGTCTCTGCCCGCCTCCTTTGCCGGGCTCGGCGCGCCCTTCGAGGACGCGGGATCTTACAGTGTCAACCTGAGCCTAGCTCCCGCCGGTGTGATCCGGGTGCCGGCGCACAGGCCACTGCCCGGGGCTGTGCCACCGCCTCTGCCAAGCGCGCTGCCCGCCATGCCCTCCGTGCCCACGGTCTCCAGCCTGGGCGGCCTCAATTTCCCCTGGATGGAGAGCAGCCGCCGCTTTGTGAAAGACCGCTTCACAGGTGAGCAGAGCAAGCGAGTAGGCGCCAGGCCTCGGCCCTCCCGGGGCCAGAGGCGCCGCGCCCTATGCGCTCCACTCCCGGAAACGAATCCAGAGGCCTGAGCATGATGGAGGCCTCTGCGCCCAAGCCGCCGGGTAGCCTTGGAGGGAAGGGTAATCGGAGAGTTGGGGGAAAATAAACCCGCGCCCTGGGAAGGAGGAAGGGGGAGGGGGCGTCTCCCGACCCGTTAGGTGCCGCTGGGGACGCACGGAAAGAGAGAAATAACGGAGCACTCGGGGTCCCACGGGGCTCCACAGAGTCCACATGAGGCCTGAAAGGTAGCGGAGCTGGTCTGGGCTTCAGGGGACCTCCTGTGTCTCTGCAGCGGCCGCCGCGCTCACGCCCTTCACCGTGACCCGGCGCATCGGCCACCCCTACCAGAACCGGACGCCGCCCAAGCGTAAGAAGCCGCGCACGTCCTTTTCCCGGGTGCAGATCTGCGAGCTGGAAAAGCGCTTCCACCGCCAGAAGTACCTGGCTTCAGCCGAGAGGGCGGCGCTCGCCAAGTCCCTCAAAATGACGGACGCGCAGGTCAAGACCTGGTTCCAAAACCGGAGGACCAAGTGGCGGTGAGAGAGGCCCGGCCGGGTCCACCTTGCACCTGCCAGGGCCGTGCCAAAGCCTAGCTCTCCCCGCTTGCCAGCGCTTCCCTCTATTTGTTCCCCCAAGGGCTTCTCCTCCCCCTCCTTCACAGGTTTTATCTCCTCCCTTCCTTCTTGCCGACCTGATGTTTTCTGTCCATCTCTCCCACACCTAGGCTTCCCTTCCATCACCAACCCTATGTCTTTTGAGCCCCTCCAACTCTCTGTGTGTTTTGTTCCACCTCTCGGTCTCCTTCGGGTTCTTCTCACCTTCCCTATCACGCAAACACACATACACAAACACACGCCCCTCCCACACTCCTGCCTCCCCCATTCCAGCCTAAACTCTCAGATTTCCGAGTATCCGCGAGGGCTGGAAGTCCCCCACCAGCTCTGTTTTTATTGATCTGTTTCAATCCAACCCGTAAACGGCGAAATAAATGATCGCGTCCTGGAAAAGCGTTCAAGACAGGGCCTGTGAAAACTGGACTGGACAGACCCCGTCCAGGCACGCGGAGCTGGCAGTGCACATCCAGCCCGGCCCTCCGCTGACCCCAGTGACCCTGCTGTCCACAGAGCCCAGAGTCAGTTACACCAATGCCCAGCGTTTGCTACTTTAAGAAAGAAACAATATTGTTGGCAAAGCCACAATATCCGGGCGTGCAGGTGGGCAGCGGGCAGAGTTCCCTCCTGGCGCCCCCGGGGTGCACAACAATAACAAACGATCCCAGCCCAGTCTCCCGACTGGAGGGCCCCGGGCGTAAATCGCGCGCAGGGAGGCAGACAGGTTCAGCGCCTGGAGCCCTAGTCTGGCCTCTGCTCCCCCCGGGGGGGGGGGGCACTGGGGCCCCGCCGGTGGTCCTGCAGCGTCCGGTGCCTGACAGTGCTGTTCTTTCCCCCACCCACCCCCGCCCCGTGCAGGCGGCAGACGGCGGAGGAGCGGGAGGCGGAGCGGCAGCAGGCGAGCCGGCTCATGCTGCAGCTGCAACACGACGCCTTCCAAAAGAGCCTCAACGACTCCATCCAGCCCGATCCACTCTGTCTGCACAACTCGTCGCTTTTTGCTCTGCAGAATCTACAGCCCTGGGAAGAGGATAGTTCTAAGGTTCCAGCCGTCACCTCGCTGGTGTGAGCCACCAGCGCGCACTGTCGCCATGGATCGCCGCCCCCACCTGGCGGGGCGTCCCGAACCCCCAGCCGGGCTGGGGGAGAACTGGGGCCGAGAGGGGAAGGGACCGCCAAGTTCTAGTAGGCCCTGGGGTGCGGCTGCACACGGCCAGCCACAGAGTGGGGCTGGGCCCGGGCTCCGCGCGGCTGCACAATCCGAGCCCCCGCCCTGCGCCCCGTCCCGCCCCAGGCCCGAGCCTGACAAAGAAAGCGCCTTACGTTTCTCCGCCTCCCGCCCGCACCCCCCGGGCTGGGCGCCTGTATTATACTTTGTACTTTTGCCCAAACGTGTAAATAATAAAAGTTTTGGCTTTTTTCTTTAGACACCGGCGACCTGCTTCCCCTGCGGGGGCCGCCGGAGGAGGGGCAGCCGACCCAGCGGTTGGGGGAAGCGCCTGGGGCCGGGGACACCTTGCGTTTAGGCTGGGTTCACTCCTCTCCTTTTCCGTTCCTTTTATTTAAGTCGTTTTATTTAATAAAAAGTTAGCTATTTCACTTAACGCCGCTTTTATTTCGTTTTCGTTCCAATAATGCTTGGCGACTCCCGGCCTCGCGCCCCACCCCTGCGGCTGGAGCAGGCGAGCGACCGTGAGCGGGCGCGCGTCCGCTTTTCCAAGTTCGTCAGCGTCCGCTTCAGCTCGCACCCGGCCCGGGGCCCCGCGGAGGACGCGCGGTGCAGGTCAGTTCGTGCCGGGTGCCCGCCGGATGGGGCGTGGACGTGGGAATGGCTCCATAGGACCTAAGGCCCAAGAGCAGCCAGAGAGCCTGGCAGGGAAGGCCGGACCGGGGCCCGGGGATGGAGGGTGGGGCGTAGGCAGTTGCAAGGTCAAATTCACCGGGTGGGTGGGTGACAGAGCAGCATCGTGCTTCTTAGAGCGCAAGAGGAAATGCTGAGACCTCTCACACCCCGAAACCCGCTTTCGGCTCTTTCCTTCGGGGCCTCCTAACGGTCCGAGGCCAGACTCAGGGACTTGGATCTTGGGGATCTGGCCACAGTGTGAGCGCTGAGTCAGCACACATCCCGGGTGGCCATGTTCTGGGGACCAAATGCAGCCCCCAACCCAGGTTCCCTGGTCGCTCTTAGGTTTGCTCCAGACCGCAGGTGGAGAGTGACGTCATGTGACGTCACTGCAGCCTTCACAGCGTCACTGGACAGGAGGGGCCTGGTGCCCGGAACGTCCAGAACCCCAAGTCCGAGAGTGGCAGCGGCGTGGTCGCGTTCTCCCCAGTTTAACGTGGCCCCAAAGTTGGAAGTTTCGGGATTGCGTGATCGTGTTCAGATGGCCCCTTTCAACTATAAGCCTTTAAGTGTCCCTAAAATTTTTTCTCTTGCCCCTCTTTTGTCCTTTTATCTTTCTTTGGTCCTTTAAAAAAATTTCTTATTTTGTGCCCTCTCTTTCTACATATTCCCTATTTTCTTCGTTTGTAACTGTTGGTCTCTGCATTGCTGTATCTCTTTATTTGTTCTTTTATATTTCTCTGTATAGCTCGTTTCCTGCTGCTTTTAACTTCTCCGTGTCTTTGTCATATCCTCTCTTCGACCCTGCCTATCCCCATCTCTGACTCTTGTCCTCTTTTTCTTTTCCTTCCCGTCTCCCAGATTCTCTTTGCCTCTATTTCTCTGTCTCTTTTTCCTTCTCTCTCACTTTCCCTCCTCCAGGCCGCTCCGGGTACCTCCCTGAGTTAAACACTTTGGGGCGGCGTCCCGGAGGCCCGGAGCTGCGCCACCGGCCTGCACCCGCTGACCGCTCAGGGCCGTGCGCTACCCTGCGGCCTCGGCCCTTTGAGCCTTCGTTACACGCGGACTTTGCGATTGTCTACGCGGCCCGGGCTGGAGGAAGCGGAGGGCGGCTAAGAATGTATGCCAGCTCCCAGCGCTCCGGCCCCCACCTCCAACTCCAAGCCCTAGTCTGGAATCACAGCCTGGGGGCTTAACACCCAGGGAGGGCTGGGGGAGTTAAGCTTCGGGTCTCTTTTGTGTTTTCCTCAAATTTAAAAAAAAAAATTTTTTTCTGCGAAAAAAACCCGATGAACGTCGTCATCGGGATGAGAAAAAATTGGCCCCTTGGCTGGGAACAGGAGGGACCGTTTTTGCCTTTGCCTTCCTCGAGGCCTTGGCATCGCTTTCCTGTAGGTTTTGTTCAGTTGCTCCATAATGCGGCCGACAGTTTTTGTAAATTATTTATGTTGGTTTTCCAGGACGATCCTCCATTCCTGGGCCTTTTGGGGGGTACACACACACACACACACACACACACACAAACACACGCTCGCGCGGCGTGTGCCTTTTTCTTTCAGGCGCCTCGCTTTGCACAAAGTGGCCCTGGCTGAGCGGGCGCCGGCAGTCGGCTTCCAGCCTGGCTGGGGACCGATCTGTGCCCAGCGGCCCTACGGGGCGCCTGGGTTGCCTCACCCGCAGCCTTGAGGCATTCGTGCCTTCCAGCCATTCGCGGTCCCGGAGTGCTTTGCCCCAAACGAGCCTCGCCAAGCCAGAGGCAGAATAGGGCGTTTTTCGTGTTAGGGGGCTGAGTCCACTCTTGTGCGGCCGTGTCGCGACCATCTGTGGCCCAAGGTCACCCAGAGCAACGTGGGTGCCCCGCAGGGGGTGGGTGTAGCGCCTTAGCGCCTCCTTTCGACGTGCAAAGCTGCGAAGCCGTCCTGACGGCCAGGCTTGTGCGCGACTCGGGTCCAAGGGAACCCTGTTAAGGGACGCTGCGCCTAATTCGCACCCGCGGAGGGCTGTGGTGTGGCGGAGTCAGGGAGTATCAGGATCCACACGGGACAGGCGACCTGGAAGCTGAGTTTAAGGAAAACGGACTCTGGAGCTGCCTGAGAAAGCTCGGCGTGGGCGCCTCCTTGGCGACGCTCTCCCAGGCTCCGGAGGCCAGCGAGTGGGTGTGGGCGCCCGGGCCCGCACGGAGGGGACTGAACACGAGAAGCCGCAGGCCTCTGGGCAGACGCGAGGCGTCATCGCTGACATGGCCTCCCTCAGTCTGGGTTCCGGCGTCTCTAAAGCTGTGTCCATATTATGAATTCAGGACAAGGAGCCCCGCTACCCGAACCGACTGGTCGCGCGTGTTCTCCCAACGCCCTGATTTCGGGGCTGCGCCCCGGTCCTTACCGGCAAGCAGGAAGGCCCGGCTCGAAGGCGAGTGCCGTGGTATGGGCATTCAGGCGGCCCGGGAGTTGCACTAAGCTCTGCTCTGCTCTCCGCAGCAGGTGAAGTCTGAGATTGGGGGAAGCAAGGGAGATCAGGCCTGATCAGAGCCCTTGAGAAAGAGGGCAGAAAACTCTAGGGCCAGCTTGTTTTTCCCAAGTGAAACTGGTTCCCCTTCTGAAGCTTCTTGTTTGGCCAGACGCTTTGGTCACAGTGTGATTTACAGGACTTGCGTACCTCGGAGGTTTGGATGCCCTCTCCCAGTTGCAGAGAAAACACTAAGCCTCAGAGAAGTTCAAAAATTAGTCCTGGGTCGCACAATGGCGGCAGCCCGGACGTTCTTGCCTCCCCCAAACAATCGTTCTGTCCTGTGCTTGGTGGGGTGAGGAGTGGAGAGGTGCAGAGGATCTTGGCATAGTGAGAGGTAGGAGGGTGGTCTCGGAGACTCTGCTGCCACAAGGTCCCCTGCTCTTAGTGGGGTAGCAGGGGCTGCGAGCTCAGGCCTGGGCTGTGGATTTGGTCTGCGGTTCCAAGGGCACCCACTGCCTCTTGCCTCCCAGGCTTGTGCGGGGGTCCACGTTTGCCATCCCTGAAGTGGGGAGCCGGCCAAGGCCACCTCAAGCTTAGCGGTGAGACCCAGTAGCCCCACTGCTTGGCTGGGCTGGACAGCTTCAGAAAGGGTGGCAGAGCTGGGGCGCGAGGCGCTTCTCCCGGTCTTTGGTAGAAAGACCTGGCCAGGCTGCCAGGCTGCCAAAAGGCACACCCGCCAAGCACTCCTGGATAGGGTCTGCAAAATGCAGCCTCTAACTTCAGGCAGAGTCCACTGGGCAGGGCAGGGACCTAATTTCAATCACAATAAAAGTTCCTGAAAATCTTGGCCAAAATCTTAATCTGGCCCTCAGCGCAACTAAATCCCAAGTGGACTGAGGCCAGAGAGCCACAGGCAGGGTATAGATGCCCGCACTGTGGAATGGAGAAGGTTCCTCAACACTGATGGCCGTTTTCCTAGAGTGAAATCCATCCCCCTCCTCCCCAGTTTCCAAACCTCCACTCTGTCCTGAGCATCTCTCCTCAGCAACACCCAAACCCAGGACTTTGCTGCTTTGGTTCAGACTCTGGCAGATTCCTCCAGGAATTGTCATAGTGATCTCTTGCTACCCAGCCAGCTGGTGACAGAGTTTACTTAGTGCTGTTCTCTTTCTGTGTGGCCCTGAGTGAGTGGCTTCTACTCTCTGTGCCTTGGTTTCTGAAACTGTTAAAGAGTCATTAAAGACTCTTTGAGGGAAAGTAACAAAGAAAAACCATGGTGTATTTACAGCTGATTATCAATTTGTCATAAAAATATAAGCATTTCAAATATATCTCCAGATAAAAATCTAAGTAAATGCCTACTAATGAAGGGGGGTTAATAAGAAATAGTATGTTTGTGTACTTCACTGCCATCCTTCCCCTCCCTGCTGCTGCTATAGACAGCGCACAATCAGCTCCTCCCCTGGCTCTGCCTTGGTCTGCTGAGGCTGGCCGGTACCCTATTACCTTGAGGTCAGAGGTTATTTCTGCCCCCGACTCCAGTTCACAGCCATGGCCAGTTACTGAGTTAGTTATTCATCCCCCTTTGGTATGCTCCCAACTGGTGTGACAAGGAGGGCAGATGGGAAAAGGAAAACCATATTTGAACAGAATATTTGAGCTGAGTTTTTTGTTGCGTTTGGTTTTGTCCGTCATCCGCTTGAATCCCCAGGACAGTTTTAGGTTCCCATCCTACAAACAGAGAACAGCGAGAAGCAGACTGGCAGGTTGGGGAGGAGAGTCACCCAGGCTCCTGAACTGGCTCCCACCTGGCCACCCAGAGGGCTGGCTGCCGGGCCTGGTCTGAACACAGGTCTCAGACAGGAAGGGCTCCATCCCCCGCGGGTTCTTTAGAGGGGTTTGTGCTGACCCACACTCCCGATTTTAAGAAGCCAAATCTTCAAGTGGAGCGAGAGTCTTAGATTGGCTTTAAAAGCTGGTTTTGGCATCAAGCTCTACTGATCGATAGATTCATCCAGGAGTCGCTGATACCCTTTAGTGCCTGGAATCTGGGTCAGCAGCATGCCCCTTGTCTCCGCCCCCCCATTCAGGAAAAAACCCCTCCTGGCCCGTCAGGGGAGAGGCCAGCAGGAAGGATGCAGGGCATTCTAGGTAAAGACATATGGGGGCGGGCGGGGAAAGTAGCCCTGACTGGCCCTACTGGGCAGGAGTCCCTGGGTCTGGAGAAGGTGGAGAAGGTGAAGTTGCTCAGCCA